GCCCATACTTCGGCAGGATGATTGCATGAACTACATACTCATACATGCGAAGGGAAAAGTAATTAAAATTTTATCAAGGCCATATGCTTCATTGGTTTCCAACCAAATGCTCTTTCGAAAAACCGGCACATTTAATACGACACATACACAATGTACAGAGAGCGCAACATATGCATATGCGTATGAATTTGAATTCAAGACCCAAGTTCGAAACGTCCACAATCGCTGACATGCTACATAACTATGTCGAACATTGAATAGTACAGGAGCCCTTTATAGAACCGTTTTTGTTATCCAATATCTTTTTTTTTTATTCTGCACTTCCTTTCGTCATTCCTCGTCACCCCCGTTTTTGCGATTCCCCGCCAAAGACATGCAAAGCATTCAACTCATGTACATTAGTGTCAATCATACTACGCAATGAATATTCATGACCGAGCGTCTAGTCAATGCAATCCATTTGTTTTGTCAGTTATTTGCAAATTTTTCAATGAGCACACTTCATTATTCAATTTTATTAAAACTGTTATTTAATAATTCGTTTTTATGCAGTCTGCAGGAAAGAAAAATTGATCAACATTTTTGTTGTTATTGCATCAAACAACGTGAAATTAGTGACTAATTATTAGTCAAAAATGAATTTAAGATAGTTTATCATTTAAGAGGATGATTCATCATCCGTTAAATTGATGTATAACTACAGATGCGCAAATTCTATCAACAACCCTCCGGAATCACTTTTTATACGATTGGAATATACCCAATTATTAAAATGAAAAGAAATTAGAAAAAATTGTCACATTCGTTCATAATATTTATAGTATGAAATATTAAATATTCTTTTTCTTTCCACGCGTATTCATTCCCATTATCATTTCCTGTTGCATAAAGAAATGCAAACAAATTTTTTCGTTAAATATTTTGATAATAATAATAATAAGTTACATTCAAAAATTGAAAACAAAGTGATCACTGCGGAGAACGATTTTCATATTTTAATCTGTTTGAAGCATTTTTGAGCAGTTTGTCTCTTTATTGTGGTTTTCGCATTACAAATACTTTTGCGCGAAATTCAGGTAGACAAGTTCCGAATTTAAGCGTTTATTTCATCGTGTTGAAGCACAGAAGTAAAAGTAAAAAAAAAAATAAGAAAAAAAAAATCATGGAAGAACGAAAGAAGAAAAAAAAAAAACAAAGAACGTGACAACCTTAAGAATACAAACAAACGCCTCGTTTGACTGAATAATGAAGTTATCATTATAATTGCGGAAATACAAAAGATCGTGGCATAGCAATACGAACGAATATTTAATGTTTGTTGTTGTTGTTTTTTTGCTACAACATAATATTGAAATGAAGTGCATGGTGAGAAGACGATCACAACGATATATTTAAAGAGAGAGTGAGGAAAACGGTGGGTGTAGAAAAAAATAGTCAATCTAGATTCAATTAACTCGATGGTTGAACACAAGAAATCTATTTCCATTGAAATTCGTCGACCGGCACAAATAATCTAAATAGTTATTATGAACATTTTAACTGGCGCTCGTTTGAAAAACCATTTTGCATTAATACTATCTCTGTTAAAAGGACGAAGACAAAAATAAGATAATACACAAAACAACTGAAATAAAAAAAAAAATGAAACGAAGAGCGACAAATGAATGCTAACATTGTGCCTTTGAATGTAGAAAAAACCAGACAGAGGTACGGCATATTGGCTTTGGCAGCTAGCAATCAAATAGCACAGGTAAATCATTGATTTCTCTCGAGAACTAGTACAAAACTGTCAATATTAGCCGAGCTAGTGCCAATGAATTATTTAGCCAGATTGTTCTATTTTCAATTCTGGATGCCATTTTGACTGTAAGAATGCAGGCGATTGTCAATGGAAGATCGCTTTACAAGACACATACATACCTTGTGAATTCCCAAATGTACTTTTATTTTATTTATTTCCGATCAAAATGCTATTTTAGAAATGGTTCTCAATGCAATCAACCAAACGAAACAAATCCAAATGGAGACATACACAGAGAGGGAAAGAGAAAGAGAGAGAGAGAGAAACACAATGTTATACATTGTATGCACGGAGCTCATAATGTGCTTGTGCATTGCATCGTAATTTTTTAGGTAATAAACACTGCAATTCGATTGATTTTTAATGATGTTGGATCTTTTTTCGACATTTCGGTTCCCTTATTGATTTGGTTATACACCTACACGAAAAAAAAGTGAACAGAATTTGCCAGAAGCCAGGTTGGCAGTTATTCTTAAAATTAATGGGTTTGAAGTACATTTGTTTTGATTATTTATTATGCGCTCTACACGAAAAATTGAAATCAACATTTTTTTTGTGTATCTGATTTCAACAGATTATTTTTAACATTTTGATTTCTTGACTTTGAATGTATTGTAATTCTTGACAAGTATACAGTTGTATTTGTGTTTAAAGTGCGATTCTTCATTTTCAAAATCGACAACAATCATTTATAAATAAGGTGACGTGTGATGACGGTCGAAATTCCAACAAAAATGAACGATGAATCATGCGAGAAAAGAATTCATTCTGCCTGAATATGTTTGGTCAGTCTGAATGTCTGAATTGCAGAATGTCGACAGTCGACAGCTTATATAGAATAAAGGGACACTAAATTTGAAATAATAATTTTGGCATATATCTCGTTAACACATATACACGCACACAAAAACAATCGAAAAAAAAACGAGTCAATAAAAGAAGAGAAGAACAGACATGAGTGGATCCAAAAACAGACCACATCTGCCAATAAAGTGTAGAGTGTGTGCTTTTTTGTGTATTGCAAATTATATAAACATTATGTATGTGTTATGTTGACGTTTCTAGTCCTGGTTGAATGAAGACTATATGCGACTCTATGTCAATAGGAAGAGAGTGTAAATAAGCCAGACACCCAATCCTGTTTAATTATTGGCGATACGATTTCACATATTCATAGCCTTCGTAGCTCGAATATCATAGAAATGCAAAAATTACTCTAAGGCGACGAATATGTACGCCTTCGTTTGAAAAAATGTCATTGAAACAAATAGATGTTCATAAATGATGACTGAAAAAAAAAAACGAATTCAATTGAACTTAACTTGAATGCATGGCGTTGAAAAGGACATTACACATATGCATAGCATTTATTGTGCACAGAAACCAAACAGAGATGAATTCAATTACAATGGCAACGAAGATGGTAAATGCCATCACAAATTGAAACTGGCGAATTGTGTAGTACGATTGGATTTTTAAAATTGTTGACTACAGTCAACCTGTTTATGTCTACTCAAATATAAACGAAACTGGTTTCAAGAAGTCTGCACATTTAATAGATATGGACAATACACTTCTTTTTAGCTCAGATCCGGTTCAATTTGCTGTTTTTCTGTCAAGTAAAGGTCTCTCATGACCACGAAGCATATTTAACAAATAAAATATGATTTTTCGCCATTACAAAAATAAAAACCGATCTTTAAAGAGCAGGCATTGGATGCTTCTATCAAAAATGTCGCATAAATTGAAGATTCAGAAACGCGGAACCTTTACTGGTGACTCAAATGGTAATAATATCATCATGATACGAAGCATCGATGGCAAAAAAAAGCGAGAAAGCATCGAATCTTTTTTTCGAATTTAAAACATTCAACAGCTTATTCAATGGGAGCCGCACACGCAGTCGGTGTTAAAACCGTCGCCCTCATCGTTTATAAAATAGTCGGACATTATACAGATGAGTATGCAAACAAACATGTTGCATCGCACTGTCATTATACATATATGCACATACGGTACACACTTTTTCAGTGCCATCAGGAAGGTGTGGTAAATATTTGATTATGCTATTTTTTACCGTGTTTGTTAATGATAATTTCATATATAAATGCATTGCGCAACAATATTTATTTATATATTTTTCATACCACATTGAAATCAACAATGATTGAGCCAATTAACAGTTCTTTATTGAATTTTTTTTTTCTTTCAAATTTTATTTTCATTCATATTATTTAACTGAAATGCGAACATGATCATAGCGCACAGAAAAGCACATCCCATTCATTTTAATTAATCATAAATTATCTGGTTTGGTTGGCGTTGAATTAAATCAACGCAACGATAGGCATAATAGTAGTAGTATAGTCTACTTCTGACTAATATGTCAATCATAAAGCTGAAACCATAATGAAGTGTCTGGCTAAAACCAACGAAAACAGTTGGCTATGCAAAACAAAACCGAGACCATTGATTGTGTAGCACTTCGCATTTTCAAATTGTTCATTGACCATTTAATTAACAAATAGCAAAGCAATTGGACATTTCTAATTTCAAATTTTAAATTCTATTTCAACGTCGAATCGACGATAATATTCAGCTCTATTGAAATGATAATTTATGGACAGGGGCATCCAAATTGGAAGTTCCAATATCCAATAATAATATTCTTATTTGAAAGCATTATGTGTTGCAGATAAGTACAAACGTATTTGAAATAGCGAAACTTCTAAATGTACATCACTTATTTTCGACTTGTTTTGTGAAAAAGGGGAGTATCTTACCATCAAGTTGTTATGTTCGTGGTTTTGTGATTAAATAATAGATACCAATGTACTATTCAAAATCGATGGTATTATCGAGGTCAACGGCTTTGTATTGCGTATTTCCGATAATCATCGTAACCACGAATATTTACAGTAAATCAAGTTATTGTTCACTAGTCAAAATGTGTGAATATTCGTGAATATGCGTGGTTATACACCAATAAAAAATACTTCCGAGCCGCTAGCCAAAAATGTATTAACTACATTAAGCTTCCGAAAACTATTCGTACTTTTATTCTCAACGATATGTATATAACGAAAGTTGAATCATCTTATATACGTATCTTATTTCATAGTAAGAATGATACGGTATTATTTTTCCATTAACTAAAGAAATTCGTATAATATGTCATTTTTTTTCGTAACATTTTCAGCAAAATTATTTAATGGAATTTGGTTATTTGCCGAAATCTGATATTGAAACGGGAAACCTACGAACCGAAGACCAATTAAAAGAATCGATAAAAAATCTGCAAAAATTTGCAAATATTCCAGCGACTGGTTTGATTGATGAGAAAACGATGGCATTGATGAAAAGGCCACGCTGTGGTCAGCCCGACAATCCAAATGTGCCGGATTTCTTTGCAACGAATCGCCTAAAACGACGCACACGAAGATATGTAATTCAAGGACCAAAATGGACAAACACCAGTCTCACTTGGAGGTATGTGACTATATATATATTTATTATTTATTTATCTATGTGTACAGCAATTTTATCATAAAAAAATAGAATATATATCTTGTTGATGGTGTGTCGGTCAATCAAACAGACAAAATGAATATGATTTTTATACACTTCACCGAGTTTAGCCAGTGTCAAGAAAAAAATTGTATCTAAACAGTATGGAATTTATTCTGATTAAAAGAGTTTGTGTGTCGAAATACATCAGCACGTGAGGGACCTCTTTGTAAACACTCAAACACCCCTCTTATTCATATTAAAGATTTGCCAGACACTATCTTCATCGTGTTTTCTCTGTGTTAGATACGTTGGTTTGACAAAAAAAGGAGAGAATACACTGCAGCCCTGTTATCCAAATGTGCTCTTATGAAGACCATTGTGATTAATCATAGTTATATGAAATGGAATATACGAAGCTTGAAAAAAAATTCTTACAAAATAATGTCACGCGTTTTTTTTTTGTTGTTGTTGTAGTAAAGCTTTAGAGAGTAAAATTTGAAATCTACATGGAATTTGTTTTCGATATCGCATGCGGTTGCACGCTTGAACAGCTGAATGGATAACATATAAATTTTCTAAATTGTATGGAAAGTTTGAATCAAGCAGAAATCTACATGCAATGTGAAAGTTTTACAACCGCAAAACATGGCAAAAATTATGGAGGAAACAAAAACAGGATGAAAAAAGAGAGTGCTGATTCTATTCCTTATTCAACATATGTTCAACCGAAACGGGCATTGGTTTTGTTGCTCTATGAATTTATTTAAGCCATTTAAGGCACATTTATTTATTTACGATCATTGGCTCTTTTTTGTGCAATCCGAAAATAAATTTGCCTGAAACCACCATGATAACATTTCATCCGATGAAACATTAAACAAATTTTCTTTGAAATACCTTTTATTTTCAAAAATGTACATTCAAACATCATTTGACTTCGCATCGTTCAAGCATCGAAATGAAGAAAAACAGGTCCCAATAAGGTTTCTTACATATTGATATTTATATTGAATATTAAAAATAATTGTACTTTTAACATCCTTCTCATATTCTTTCGAAACAGTGGCCAATATGGCCAAATATTCATATGAACCACGATTTTACTCTGAAGAAAGCGTAGTGGTGAGATGTTATTTTGGAACACGAACAAAAATTGTAAGAAAAGCAATTAGATGCAATTAGTATGTAGCTATTGCTGAATATCGATAGCAACGAATCGCGAAATGTGAGAGTACTCACATCAATCGTGCACTTAAAACATGCCACGCAAATTGATTTATGTCAGAAATGAATTCGTCTATTGGAAGTAAATTGAGCTTTGATGTGGATTTCTAAATAGAATTTCCCCTTCATTCAATTAAATATGAGGAAGCAGTAGAATGGCATAAAGAAAGAAGAGAGCCAATGTGTAAAATGAGAGCGTGGAAGAAATAAGATGGATTCAATAAAATGTGAACATTGAAAATGCAAAAATGGAAAAAAAATTAATTTTCAACAAGAAAGTACAGCCGTTCGACGAAACACCATTAATATCCATGCATAGTCTTATCATTGACCGTCTTTTTCTCTCTCTCTTTCTCTTTCTGTGGATTTTTGTGGTATATTTATTTCTCTAATAATTGACGCTTTAAGTTCAAAATCTACGTTCCATCGATTGTGTATCAATTAGTCTAAGAAATATATTGTTTTTCAACCTATAACATAAACCCGTGGCGTCATATCGACCAAATGATTGACTTAAACGATATTTTCTATAGATCTATCCCATTTGTAAGTACGGTTAAACGAGAGATGCGATAAGTGTATGTAATTCGTTTCTTACTAATTACTATTAGTGCTACTATATGAAGAGTGAAGATGTCACGTGTTTCAATAGCATCATTTAATGAAGCTTTTCAAATGATTACATTGAATAGTTTAAGATATAAATATATGAAATAATGCACAAGCATAAAATGTTGTTTGAAATCAACATAAAAGAAAGTTATTGCTGTTTTTGTTCTTGGCGTTCACGTGTCTTCTCTATCGAAAGGCACGTGTACGGCCTTTTATATTATATTTATGCTGAAACCCACGCATTATGAATACGAAGAAGTGATTGGAAAAGCGACCTGTTCATTGTACATCACAAACATTTTCAAACCACCGTGTGCTTCTTGGTTATTTAATACCTTGAATTACAAGTAAACTGAAATCTTTTTTATTTTTTGTTTCACCGTTCAACTATTTAATTGTTCAGCTCAAGAAGAAAGCGAATTGAATTTGTGTTCCATTGATCTCCAGCCAGGAAAAATAAAATAAAATCTACATGGAAAAACTAAAGTTTGAAGATTTTAATTATTTGATTGTCGCCTTGTTACGGGTTTCACTAAAGATGGTGGTCATTTCAAAATAGTATCATTCTATGTTATCCATAAGAGAAACAAAAAGTGGTACATAAGCCCAGTCAGTAGCACACAAACAAGAGAATCGAAAATTGTTTTGAATGTTGCTGATTTTGATGTAAGAGAGATGCCATTGTTTAACATTTTCACAATGATTCACATCAGTTACAGATGCTATTTTCCCTGTTTATATTGATTGTGTATTTACTCTTTGCCACACGAGTTATGAAACGCATGAATCGAATTGCATTTTCTGCTCGAATACAATATGAATTTGAGTGAATTTAAAGTAAACGGTTGTGCAGACATGACACGTGATTCAAATGTATAGTAGTTGTTCGTCATCAAATTATCGCTTCAATTTTTCATATGTAATTTTGTTTGTTCGTTTTGATTTAAACAAGAAACTTAAAACAATTTTAACTTGTAACTTCATGTTTTTATTTTTATTTCTGAAATTGTTGAATTGAATCGGACATTCTGATGTTTAATTTATTGAAAATTCGATTTTCGGTTTAAAATTTTATACGTAATTTTATGTATAGATTTAGCATTGTTTGCAACGTGTTGTCGCTTCTTCTTTTTCTTCGTCTTGTTAGAGAGAAGGCAAATTGTGGCAGCTGCAAAAGTAATTTGTGTCAAAACTGCCAAAATCTGTCTAGTTCAATAAAATTTGCCAATCAAAAAAGCATCATGTGATCCTTTTTTTTGTCCATATGTATATCACTTTATATTGCTTTCATATATATAATAACAGTCTGATTGGAAATGTTGCTTTAATGCTCAATAAATTTTGAACGAAATCGAAACAATATTGACGAATTTGACGTTTATCGAATCTGTTGCGAACCAATTCAATAACTAAATGCTCTCGAGTTTTTATCATCGGATTAAAGTTATGCACCTGTAATCAGTCTTACTCTCAGCAACAGTACCATAAAATCACAATGGTACGATAATTAAATTTTTTTAAATGAAAAAATAAAATCCTTTTCGCCTCGATCACAACACCAAAAAGATTCAAACCACATCTGACCCAAACGATATATTTGCAATGTATATATGTAATCGAATCGGCTAGATAAATAATAAATGTTATTGCATCCCAAAATTGTGCATTTTCAAAATGAATTTGAAAACAAAGTACTACCGTTTTATATATAAAAAACATATATTGAAATTGTCATTTTGATTAATAGAAATGAACTATCAAATGTTTCAGATTTAAATTAAATGGATTCACGGTGCACAATGTCAAGGTGTTTTCTGATCAAACTTCAACATAACAATAAAAAAAATGTATACTTCTAAACAAAATGTCCCATAAAACGAACATATTACAGACTAAACGGTTTTTATTTAAGAATATTCTTTAGACATATACTCAGAATCGGATTGTCAGAATGCCAACGAAATATTTCTGTGAATTGTGAAGTGGCAAAGTTGATTATGCATCTGTTTTTTTATTATTTATTCTCCATCCTCTTTATCTCTGTTAACAATGTAATTTGATTACTGAAAATGTAAAGGTGGACGAACTAAGTGTATGCGAAAGAATCAAGTTGAATTGGGCTAAATGCGCGAGCACAATTCCTCTTGTGTTATGTACGTGAGCTCATAAAATATATGCTATTTATACAGATAAAAAAAAGAAATATTGAATAAAAAGCCTACACAATATGCAAGCTAACAATGTGCAATGAGCAATGGAAATAAATGTAATTTGATAACAATCGACCACATTAATTCGATCGTTGAAATGGATTGCAACATGACATGGAAACACAATGGCACGAAATAAAAACCAGGAGAAAATTATAAAATGCACTCAGAGAAAATTTATTTTCAAATGAGCGATAGTGATGACGATGACGTTGTAGTTTCAAATATCATTTTGCACTGGATTTTTCGAATGGTGTTTGACAGACATTACACAAGCATTGCCGGATGTATACGGTGGTCGGAGGTCGGAGGACGTATGAGATGAGATATAATAATACACAACCAAATGCACATACATACAATATTTTCGAAAATAGAAAATGGTGCTAAATCGGAGCTCATTGCTTAATTGGACTGGACTGGTTCATATAAACATCAAAATGCATTTACAGGCTATGACCATCTTCCATTTATGAACAACAATGATAGCGAGAGTCTCGCTGCGAGACAGCAAAAACAAAAATAAATTTTATATATTATATGAATGAGATAAAAGTGTTGTGTTTTAACTTCAAGGCAAATGAGATATAGTGCATCACAAACAGCAGACAACAGTTTTCCGTAACAAAAAGCCTCCGGAAACTTTACCTGGTTCAAATCAGGAATAAATTCGAAATTGAGCATTTCACATAGCGGAAATTAATTTATATAGTTAGCTTCGAAATGATATTGGGCTGGCAAAAAAGTCTTTTCCGATTCTCGTCACATATGTGTTTGAATCCATATATCTGGTATTGAACTATTCAAAGGGGAAATATTTTAAGGGTCATTTGGATGTGCACATCTTTAACGACATTTAAATAAAGAGAATTCAAAAGTTATATTTAAAAATAAATTCATAGGCAATTTCGATATTTGCTCAATTTTCACTTT